ATCTATCTCAGACTTTTTCTATCTATCTATCGCAGACTTTTTCTATCTATCTATCTATCTATCTATCTATCTATCTATCTATCTATCTATCTATCTATCTATCTTAGAGTTTTTCTATCTTCATTCCATCCTTGAGAAAGGTATGAACTTTTCTCTTCTCCATCAGCTATAGGTTAATTAATATGACTTATATCAGTAAATGATTATTATCTTTTAAAAATTATTACAAACTAAAAAATAATTTCTGGCTTTAAATAACCTGCAAAGGGTTGATGAACTGCAGAAAACGAATCAATATCTATCTATCTATCTATCTATCTATCTATCTATCTATCTATCTATCTATCTCTATCACTTCATATCTATCTATCTATCTATCTATCTATCTATCTATCTATCTATCACAGTCTATATCTATCTATCTGGATCGTAAAATTTATTATAGCTTTTGGTCCCTGTGTGGTTATTACATACAATATAGTTTAATATTTATCATTAAACCATAAAACCATGAACCTGGGAATAAACAGAAAAACATGATCTCTCTTGTAGGTTTACATACGGAACAAGGTGTATAAATATATGTAAATATAAGTCTATTAACAGTCATGAAATTGTTTATCTAAATACATGCGTACACACAATCAAGGCCCCCGCCCGTTATTAATGACACAACGGAAAACAGTATTGTAACGTGTTCCGTTCAAAAAATGTCTTTAGAAAAAAATAAAAAATAAAAATAAAAGAATAAAGCTTTTAGTTCTGTATATAAAGGAAAAAAATACAACAAGCGTTGTCTCCATGAAAACGTTAACTCTAAAAAAAAAAACACCTAAGATTTGAATTTTGATGTCCGATCTATCAAAATTTTCAAAGTTCATTCATTTTTTATCGTTTTTTGGTTTTACTGTTATTTCAAAGAAAAGATTACTGAATTGTTTCGTAATATCTGTCCTCCTATTTGTGTAGTGAATGCTGGATAATCTCATCACAGATGGAGAAGTGACTGCAGGGAATATAAACGAAATTCTATAGAAGGATGCTAAGAATACCATATAAATAAGAACGAAGTTTTAGAGAAAATGGTAACAAAAAGGATACTTATACATAATATCATGAAAAACGGTTGAAATTTCTATGGCGCATAATGAGGAATAAGGGCTTGGAAAATCTCACAGGACAGATTGAAGGCAAGGGGGGGGCAGAGGAAAATAATGCATAACATACTTTATGGCGAACAGGGTTTAGGAGATATAACAAAAAAAACCCCCATTTATTAAGAGCTACAAAGGATAGGACATTTGGGAGAGCCATGATCATCAAAGTTCTGAAGAGACACAGCACATAGAAGAACTATTCCATATTGTTTTAATCTTAATTATCTAAGGAAATATGTTATAGGATCCTGAATACAAATTCTGAAATTAAACCATTTTCAATACATTTTCGCTTTAATAAATTTCTTTCCCTTTTAATAAGAACCACATTTTTCAAGTCGAAAATATTATCAGGCATATTAACGACTAAAGATTTGAGTGGATCTTTATAAAAGATCCTCTATATGATCACACACACACACACACACACACACACACACACACACACACACACACACACACACACACACACACACACACACATATATATATATATATATATAATTATAGATAACTAGACTCGTTTCGATCCGTTTAGGTGAAACCTAGGTAGGTTTGTCTGGCTCACTAGGTTTATCTATATCTATATCTATCTATCTATCTATCTATCTATCTATCTATCTATATATATATATATATATATATATTATATATATATATATTTTCATCCACAGACAGACTGTTTCGCAGCTCATCAGTGCGGTTAGACATCCGGTTGCCTCTAGCTAGGATCGAAACCCGAGTGAATTGGCATCAGTCCGTATTCTACCACTAAGCTGTTGGGAATTTAAGCGTATTTATTTTTAGATGAACACACAGTGACTGAGAGAACTCGATTTACCGAATAAAAAATTATTAGCCGTACTAGGCACTGTTTACAAACTCAATATATATATATATATATATATATATATATATATATATATATATATATATATAGATAGATAGATGAAACTTGACTCCCCCGTCGAATTCAAGTAGTCAAGTAGATCAGTTCCTAGGGAACCGACAACCCGACGCCAGCACATGAGATTTGCTTATACTGCTGAAGGTTTTGTGCAGAATCATTCACACTTTTTGAAGGGCCGAATACAAAGATCTGGTGCACTAAGTGCCACAAATTTCCCATACGACCTTCTGCAGATTTTAAATTCAGAGTTGTCCTTCCCCTAGACCAGTTGCTATCCAAGGCTATAGAACCCAGTCTGTCCTGCTCTTTACCCATAGCTGGAGGGAGAAGAAGAGGATTCATAATGTATATCATTATCTATCTATCTATCTATCTATCTATCTATCTATCTATCTATCTATCTATCTCCTTCAACACCTCCTGCCACCAATTTAAACCTGCCATCTCAAACAAATTAAAAATGATAACACATAATTCTTCTTATGCCGGGAATATTTGTCACCCTTTTTATTTGTATGAAAATGGTCGATCTGAGGAATTAGGATAAAATTTCGATCCTAAGGAAATAATTTATAATCATCGTGAAACCTTAAACCATTTCGCATTCTATAACACGACCTAACATGAGCCAAATTTTACTTTTCCATTTTTTTTCCCGGCGTATCGAGATGGCAGATACTGACACAGGAAATGAAAAAAAAATCATAACGTTCTCATGTCAACAACAACGACACGGGTTCAGTTTCTTGCAAGTTCCCAGTTTCGTATTTCCAAGTGCAGGAATGGGCTGTAGCAACCTGTCAGACAATTACCATCTGTAGGCGAGAGAAATAAACATTATAAACAGTTTGAGATCGTAAAAACGACCGGGATCATTCAACAGATCCTGAATACACCCAACAGCGACTCCAGGAAGTCAATGAGTGTAATCGCTTAGCAGTTTAAGATGGCCAACCTTATATCAGATGTGAACTGCAAGAGGCCACCAGGTCCAAGTTCGGCGTTAATGTTTGATAAGTTTCCGGAAAACCATGTTATCTGATCGATGTGCTTGCTGAATAATCTCAGGCACCTCTCGAAGTGCCCTTCTTTTCCAATAAAAAAAAACTTCGATCAGAAGTTGAACTGGAGGAATTTCAAAGGGAATTTTGTCACTAAGGGGACATCTACGGTAATGCAACCGAGTTCTGTGATAGCCTTGTGAGTTGTGGAGAATATATCATGTCACAACACCTTTTCCAGCGGGGCCTCTAGGTTAATGTTACCGCCGATATCAATATACTGAACGCTTTGTTCAAGACCTGGATTGACGGTTGATCTGAGGTAAGGAATGCAGTCACTTACGAGGCCGCATCGCGCCCGATCTTGAGGCTGAAGACAGTTTTATCAAATAAAACTTTACTGTTTTTCTAAGTTTAACATGGTTACCTTTGTTTTTCTAAAATGTACTAATTCTCTTTTTAAATTGAATATATTTTTCTTTATATTACATATCTCTGTTTGTTATCTGGAACACCACATGTCCCTAAAGGACATCTATCTATCTATCTATCTATCTATCTATCTATCTATCTACAATATGTTCATTATCTATCTATTATCTATCTATCTATCTATCTATCTATCTATCTATCTATCTATCTATCTATCTATCTATCTATCTATCACAATATGTTCATTATCTATCTATCTATCCAGCTATCTATCTATCTATCTATCTAGCTAGCTAGCTAGCTAGCTAGCTAGCTAGCTACTTATCCGTCTGCTTACGACCACATTACTTTGAAACACCGCTTCCCGTACAATCACAGAATTTAAGCAATGTCAAGCCTGATTAGTACCTATATAGGTGACTGCTTGAGATTTTCAGTTGCTGTAACGGATAATGGCTCTGAATTCTTAATCTGAGAGCCGAGTTCGAATTCCAGATGGGTTCGTTATATTCACTTACGCGCAAATATCCTTGGGAAATGCATGAATCCCCCCCTCTCTCTCTCTTTCTCTTTCTTTCTCTCTCTCTCTCTCTCTCTCTCTCTCTCTATATATATATATATATATATATTAGGACCTTGAATAAGTTCTCGCTGATTTTTCATGAAAAGTAATGTTTTATTTACAAAAATTAGTAAGAAAGATGTCACTAAAAATATTGTCTATTGCTAGCCACGACTTTTCCTCATCTTTCTGGCAGCATTTGTATTCCATGTCGGAAATCGACACGTCTTTTGAGGCTAATCACGAGTCGACCCATTTTTTGGCATCTTCATAATAATGAAAGTGTTGCTCAGCCAGGTTATGTGCTATCGATTGGAACAAGTCATAATCGGATGGGGCAATGACTGGTGAATACGGCGAGTTGAGTAGGACTTCCCATTTAAATCGTTTCCAAGTAGGTTTTCACCCGTTTTGCAACATGTGGCCTAGCGTTGTCATGTTGCAAAATCACTTTGTCGTGTCTCTGTTCGTATAGCGGCCGTCTTTCTTCAATGTTCGCCTCAAATGTATCAATTGTAGTCGATAGCGATCTTCCGTAATTGTTTCGGTCGGGTTGAGCAGCTCATAATAAACTACACCCAGCTGATCCCACCAAACGCAGAGCAGAAACTTCGAACCATGGATATTCGTCTTTGCCGCCGATGTTGATGCATAGTCGGGCTTACTCATGATCTTGTACCTTTTCTTTTCTGCCGTTGAAGCAGCTGTTCACACGTGACAAGACGCCGTTTGACGTCTCTCGGCTTCAACTCGTACGGCACCCAAAGTCCTTGCTTTTGTATTATTCCTAATGCTTCCAAACGTTTCGAAACTGTAATGTGATCAACTCCTAATGATTCTGCAAGTTCGGCTTGCGCCTGACATGAATCTTCATCAAGTAATACCTCTAATTCTTCGTCTTCAAACTTTTTAGGTGCCCCACAGCGTTCTTTATCTTCAACATAAAAATCATTATTTTTGAAGCGTCTACACCAATCTCTGCATGTTGTTTCCGACAGAGCATGGTCCCCGTAAGACGCAACACGATTTCTGTGCGCTTCAGCTGAAGAATTTCTTTTTAAATAAAGTAGTGCAGTAAAATTCCCCACAGTTACACTTTCTTTGGCACGAAATCCGACATGTTTTACGCTATGAAAAACAAAGTTATTTACAGTTCGACGAAATGGTATACACTGAATTTCAAGCTTGCTTATAGTACTTCCTTATAAGGTGCGTTACCATCTGAAACTATACGCACGCACTTCTGGGAACGCCATCTGTTGGAAAATAGCGAGAACTTATTCAAGGTCGTAATATATATATATATATATATATATATATATGTATAAAATCATTCAATTTATTTTTTAATCCGACATTTCTTACTTTAAAAGTTTATTTTCGATGAAATATGTGTTTGAGTAGACATCAGGATTTTTTAAGTTTTTATTTAAGCAGTGACATTTTCTACCAGCTTTCATTGTCGAAAGTATATTCTCTTGAATAAAACTTTTGATGATCTAGGCCGGTAGACCTTAATTTCACAGTAAAAGAAACAAAAATCAAAACAGAAAAGTCTATTTAAACACGTATGCATATGTTCACTAAAATAATATATATATATATATATATATATATATATATATATATATATATATATATATATATATATATATATATATGCATGTTTCATTAAAAACGACAGACAAGGTACTACAGTTGAGCTTTTTTATTTAATTTTTCTTGTGTTCTGACAAGAGCTTTCTTTTCTGGACAAAAGTGTGTAAGAACTGTCCGAATGTTCTGTGTTTCCGAGCGCTTTCGGCTATACCTTTAGCCATTATCAAGGATGGTTCAATTATCAGCTTAGTAGAGTGTGTTCTATGTATGTTCAGTGTGTGGTAGTGATGTTTTAGTTTCCGAATACGGTTAGCACATTGTGGCTTTGTTCATAGTTGATATTGTTAAACATGCATAAAGGAAGGATTGCTGCCTAAATATATAAATATATATATATATATATATATATATATATATATATATGAAGAAATATAGTCTTAAGGTCTGCTATATTTATGGGATAAAGTGCTCAATATCAGAGATAGAGCGTGTATAAATATAAAAGTGAACATTGAAGTCAACACTTAGAGCCTCTAAGTATTGACTTCAATGTTCACTTTATATATATATATATATATATATATATATATATATATATATATATATATATATATATGTTTTTAAACGTTATATTTTGTGGAACTTCATCGGGCTAAAGTAATTTGTTACAACTATTTTACTTCTAAAACAATGAAAAACAATATATGAGGGGCGGCTGAAATGTTCATAGACTGACCAAGGTACTCTCATGGAATGTGACCAAATGAGATTTATTTATCAACATAGACCCCGCCCCTTGCGGTCCAAAAAATTTAAATCAGTTTTGCAATGCTTGGATCCCATTAGTGAAGAAATTTAAAAGCTGTTCATCTAAAAAGTCATCAACAGCAGATATGATGTCATCATCACTGGTTCTAAGTCAAGTATTTTTCATGTTGGAGAACAGTTGATAGTCAACTGGAGCCAAACCAAGTGAATAGGAAGGGTGGTTAACCACTTTAAAGCAACAGTCATGCACAGCCATTGATACCAAGGACTTGTCTGCTGGAGCATTGTCCTGATGAAATAAGACCCCCTTTCGTTTGATCATCATAGCATTTTGTAACTAATCTCAGCAAGGCTGTCATAGTTCTTTCCATTGATTGTGTGGCCCTTTTTAAAAGTAATCAGTGAACACAATACCTTTTGTTTCTCATAAGACTGAGGCCATCACCATCCTTAGAGATGAAACGACCTTGGCCTTCTTTGAAGCAGGTGAGGAATATATAAATACAGGTAAGAAATTGACATTCTTTTATATCTTTTTCTCTGATTCTGTCAACGTTTAATTACGAGGCTCGACTGAAAAGTTCATAGGCTGACCAAGATAATCTCATGAAATATGACCAGATGAGGTGTATTTTTCAACAGTCCCACTTACGGTCCAAAAATTTTAATCGGTTTTGCAACGCTTGGATTCCATTCGTGAAGAAGCTTAAACATTTGTGTCTTCTATTCCAAATTTCCAATTTTTTCTATATAGCCAACCGGTGCCTATTTTTGTATTTTGAACTAAATATAAGTCATATACGAGGGTCGGCTGAAAAGTTCATAGGCTGACCAAGATATTCTCATGGAATGTGACCAAATGAGGTTTATTTTTCAACATAGTCCTCCTTGCGGTCCACACACTTCCACACACTTCCACACACTTCTTAATCGTACAGTTAATATCGCTAGATTGCAGTAAAAGATCACATATGGTAATGGTTAGCCGTTTCTCTATAAGGAAATATTTGGTATTCATTGACCGAGCAGGCAATACAGTCTTCGGGTGAAATTTCTAAAATCTTTTTCTTAAA